GTGGGTGAGTGGGTGGGTGAGTGAGTGGGTGAGTGGGTGAGTGGGTGGGTGAGTGGGTGAGTGAGTGAGTGGGTGAGTGAGTGGTGAGTGGATGAGTGGGTGAGTGGGTGAGTGAGTGAGTGAGTGGGTGAGTGAGTGGGTGAGTGGGTGGGTGAGTAGGTGAGTGGGTGGGTGAGTGGGTGGGTGGTGAGTGAGTGGTGAGTGAGTAAGTGGGTGAGTGGGTGGTGAGTAGGTGGTGAGTGAGTGGTGAGTGAGTGGTGAGTGAGTGGGTGAGTGGGTGGGTGAGTGGGTGGGTGAGTGAGTGGGTGGGTGAGTGAGTGGGTGAGTAGGTGAGTGGGTGGGTGAGTGGGTGGGTGAGTGGGTGAGTGAGTGGGTGAGTGGGTGGGTGAGTGAGTGGGTGAGTGGGTGAGTGGGTGGGTGAGTGGGTGAGTGAGTGAGTGGGTGAGTGAGTGGTGAGTGGGTGAGTGGGTGGGTGGGTGAGTGGGTGGGTGGGTGAGGGGGTGGGTGGGTGAGGGGGTGGGTGAGTGGGTGAGTGGGTGGGTGGGTGAGGGGGTGGGTGAGTGGGTGAGTGAGTGAGTGGGTGAGTGGGTGAGTGAGTGGGTGAGTGGGTGGGTGAGTGAGTGAGTGAGTGGGTGGGTGAGTGGGTGAGTGAGTGGGTGAGTGGGTGAGTGAGTGGTGAGTGGGTGAGTGAGTGGGTGAGTGAGTGGGTGAGTGAGTGGGTGAGTGGGTGGGTGAGTGGGTGAGTGGGTGGGTGAGTGGGTGGGTGGTGAGTGAGTGGTGAGTGAGTAAGTGGGTGAGTGGGTGGTGAGTGGGTGGTGAGTGAGTGGTGAGTGGGTGGTGAGTGAGTGAGTGGGTGAGTGAGTGAGTGGGTGAGTGAGTGGGTGAGTGAGTGAGTGGGTGGGTGAGTGGGTGGGTGAGTGGGTGGGTGAGTGGGTGGGTGAGTGAGTGGGTGGGTGAGTAGGTGAGTGGGTGGGTGAGTGGGTGGGTGAGTGGGTGAGTGAGTGGGTGGGTGAGTGAGTGGGTGAGTAGGTGAGTGGGTGGGTGAGTGGGTGAGTGGGTGGGTGAGTGGGTGAGTGAGTGGGTGAGTGGGTGAGTGGGTGGGTGAGTGAGTGGGTGAGTGGGTGGGTGAGTGGGTGAGTGGGTGAGTGAGTGGTGAGTGGATGAGTGGGTGAGTGGGTGAATGGGTGGGTGGGTGAGTGGGTGGGTGAGTAGGTGAGTGGGTGGGTGAGTGAGTGGGTGGTGAGTGAGTGGTGAGTGAGTAAGTGGGTGAGTGGGTGGTGAGTGAGTGGTGAGTGAGTGGTGAGTGAGTGAGTGGGTGAGTGAGTGAGTGGGTGAGTGAGTGGGTGAGTGGGTGGGTGAGTGGGTGGGTGAGTGAGTGGGTGAGTGAGTGGGTGGGTGGGTGAGTGAGTGAGTGGGTGAGTGAGTGAGTGGGTGAGTGGGTGAGTGAGTGGGTGGGTGAGTGGATGGGTGAGTGGGTGGGTGAGTGAGTGGGTGGGTGGGTGAGTGAGTGAGTGGGTGAGTGAGTGGGTGAGTAGGTGAGTGGGTGGGTGAGTGGGTGGGTGAGTGGGTGAGTGAGTGGGTGAGTGAGTGGGTGGGTGAGTGGGTGGGTGAGTGAGTGGGTGGGTGAGTGAGTGGGTGAGTAGGTGAGTGGGTGGGTGAGTGGGTGGGTGAGTGGGTGAGTGAGTGGGTGAGTGGGTGGGTGAGTGAGTGGGTGAGTGGGTGGGTGAGTGGGTGAGTGAGTGAGTGGGTGAGTGAGTGGTGAGTGGATGAGTGAGTGAGTGAGTGGGTGAGTGGGTGGGTGAGTGAGTGAGTGGGTGAGTGGGTGGGTGAGTAGGTGAGTGGGTGGGTGAGTGGGTGGGTGGTGAGTGAGTGGTGAGTGAGTAAGTGGGTGAGTGGGTGGTGAGTGGGTGGTGAGTGAGTGGTGAGTGAGTGGTGAGTGGGTGAGTGAGTGGGTGAGTGGGTGGGTGAGTGAGTGGGTGAGTGAGTGGGTGGGTGAGTGAGTGGGTGAGTAGGTGAGTGGGTGGGTGAGTGGGTGGGTGAGTGGGTGAGTGAGTGGGTGAGTGGGTGAGTGGGTGGGTGAGTGGGTGAGTGAGTGGGTGAGTGGGTGGGTGAGTGAGTGGGTGAGTGGGTGAGTGGGTGGGTGAGTGGGTGAGTGAGTGAGTGGGTGAGTGAGTGGTGAGTGGATGAGTGGGTGAGTGGGTGAGTGAGTGAGTGGGTGAGTGAGTGGGTGAGTGGGTGGGTGAGTAGGTGAGTGGGTGGGTGAGTGGGTGGGTGGTGAGTGAGTGGTGAGTGAGTAAGTGGGTGAGTGGGTGGTGAGTGGGTGGTGAGTGAGTGGTGAGTGAGTGGTGAGTGAGTGAGTGGGTGAGTGAGTGGGTGAGTGGGTGAGTGAGTGGGTGAGTGAGTGGGTGAGTGGGTGGGTGAGTGAGTGGGTGAGTGAGTGGGTGGGTGAGTGAGTGGGTGAGTAGGTGAGTGGGTGGGTGAGTGGGTGGGTGAGTGGGTGAGTGAGTGGGTGAGTGGGTGAGTGAGTGGGTGGGTGAATGGGTGAGTGAGTGAGTGGGTGAGTGAGTGGATGAGTGGGTGAGTGAGTGGGTGAGTGAGTGGGTGAGTGAGTGGGTGAGTGAGTGGGTGAGTAGGTGAGTGGGTGGGTGAGTGGGTGGGTGGTGAGTGAGTGGTGAGTGAGTAAGTGGGTGAGTGGGTGAGTGGGTGGTGAGTGGGTGGTGAGTGAGTGGGTGGTGAGTGAGTGAGTGGGTGGTGGGTGAGTGGGTGAGTGAGTTAGTGGGTGGTGGGTGAGTGAGTGGTGAGTGGGTGGATGAGTGAGTGGGTGAGTTTGTCGGTGGTGAGTGAGTAGGTGGGTGAGTGAGTGGGTGAGTGAGTGGGTGAGTGGTGAGTGGTGAGTGAGTGAGTAGTGAGTGGATGAGTGAGTGGATGAGTTAGTGGGTGAGTTAGTGGGTGGTGAGTGAGTGGGTGAGTGGCTGAGTGAGTGAGTGGGTGAGTGAGTGAGTGAGTGGGTGAGTGAGTGGGTGGGTGAGTGGGTGGGTGGGTGAGTGAGTGAGTGGGTGGGTTAGTGGGTGGTGAGTGAGTGGGTGGTGAATAGGTGGTGAGTGAGTGGAGTGGGTGGGTGAGTGAGTGAGTGAGTGGGTGAGTGAGTGAGTGGGTGAGTGTGTGGGTGAGTGAGAGGGTGAGTGAGAGGGTGAGTGAGAGGGTGAGTGAGAGGGTGAGTGAGAGGGTGAGTGAGAGGGTGAGTGAGAGGGTGAGTGAGTGAGTGAGAGGGTGAGTTGGTGAGAGGGTGAGTGAGTGAGAGGGTGAGTGAGTGAGAGAGTGAGTGGGTGGTGTGTAAGTGGTGAGTGAGTGGAGTGAGTGGGTGGGTGAGTGAGTGGTGAGAGAGTGAGTGAGTGAGTGTGGTGGGTGAGTGGGTGGGTGAGTAGATGAGTGGGTGAGTGAGTGGGTAGGTGAGTGAGTGAGTGGGTGAGTGGGTGGGTAGGTGAGTGGATGACTGAGCGGTAAGTGGTTTAGTGAGTGGTGAATGGGGTGGGTGAGTGGATGAGTGAGCGGTAAGTGGTTTAGTGAGTGGTGAATGGGGTGGGTGAGTGGATGAGTGAGCGAGTGAGTGGATGAGTGAGTGGGTGAGTGAGTGAGTGGATGAGTGAGCGAGTGAGTGGATGAGTGAGTGGGTGAGTGGGTGAGTGAGTGAGTGAGTGGATGAGTGAGCGAGTGAGTGGGTGAGTGAGTGGATGAGCGAGTGAGTGGATGAGTGAGCGAGTGAGTGGGTGAGTGAGTGGATGAGTGAGCGAGTGAGTGGATGAGTGAGTGGGTGAGTGGATGAGTGAGCGAGTGAGTGGATGAGCGAGTGAGTGGATGAGTGAGCGAGTGAGTGGATGAGTGAGTGGATGCGTGAGTGAGTGAGTGGATGCGTGAGTGGGTGAGTGGGGTGGGTGAGTGAATGAATGAGTGGGTGCATTAATGAGTGGATGAATGAATGAGTGGATGAATGAGTGTGTGTATGAATGAGTGGATGAATGAGTGTGTGGGTGTATGAATGAGTGTGTGGGTGTATGAATGGGTGGATGAATGAGTGTGTATGAATGAATGTGTGTATGAATGAAAGTGTGTGTTTGTATGAATGAGTGTGTGGGTGTATGAATGAATGAGTGGATGTATGAATGATTGAGTGTATGAATGAGTGGATGAATGAGTGGATGTATGAATGATTGGGTGTATGAATGAATGAATGAGTGGATGTATGAATGAGTGGATGAATTAATGTGTGTATGAATGAGTGGATGAATGAGTGTGTATGAATGAGTGTGTGGGTGTATGAATGAGTGTGTATGAATGAATGAGTGGATGAATGAATTAGTGTATGAATGAATGTGTGTGAGTGTATGAATGAGTGTGTGAGTGTATGAATGAGTGTATGAATGAATGAGTGTGAGTATGAATGAGTGTATGAATGAATGTGAGTGTGTGAATGAATGAGTGTGTGAGTGTATGAATGAGTGTATGAATGAGTGTGTCAGTGTATGAATAAGTGTGTGAGTGTATGAATGAGTGTATGAATGAGTGTGTGAGTGTATGAATGAGTGTATGAATGAGTGTATAAATGAATGCGTGTGTGAGTGTATGAATGAATGAGTGAATGAATGAGTGTGTGAGTGTATGAATGAGTGTATGACTGAATGAATGTTTGAGTGTATGAATGAGTGTATGAATGAATGAATGAGTGTGAGTGTATGAATGAGTGTATGAATGAATGAGTGTGTGAGTGTATGAATGATTGTATGAATGAATGAGTGTATGAATGAGTGTGTGAGTGTATGAATGATTGTATGAATGAATGAGTGTATGAATGAGTGTGTGAGTGTGTGAATGAGTGTATGAATTAATGAGTGTGTGAATGAAAGTATGAATTAATGAGTGTGTGAATGAAAGTATGAATTATTGAGTGTGTGAATGAAATGATGCCGCTGCTGCTCGCTAACAGCACTTGCCCCAACATCCCGCGTGGGCCACTGGGTCGACCTTTGCCCCCTACGTGTGCTGTGTGACTCCCGGCCGTCTTTGTATCTCCCCTCGTGGTGGGGCCTCAGGGCATGGCGCTCCGTCTGCTGGCCAGAGCGGTCTGCAGGGTGGTGGTGAGCGGTGAGTTGGCAACCCAGCAGCATCATCAGCAGCAGCATCAGCAGCAGTAGTAGTATCAGCAGCATCAGCAGCAGCAGCATCATCAGCAGCATCAGCAGCAGCAGCAGCTGCATTAGTATCAGCAGCATCAGCAGCAGTAGTAGTATCAGCAGCAGCATCAGCAGCAGCATCAGCAGCATCAGCAACAGCAGGATCATCAGCAGCAGCATCAGCAGCATCATCAGCAGCAGCACCATCAGCAGCACCATCAGCAGCAGCATCAGCAGCAGCAGCATCAGCAGCATCAGCAGCTGCATTAGTATCAGCAGCAGCATCATCAGCAGCAGCATCATCAGCAGCAGCATCAGCATCATCACAGCAGCAGCAGCAGCTGCATTAGTATCAGCAGCAGCAGCATCAGCAGCAGCTGCATTAGTATCAGCAGCACCAGCAGCAGCAGCAGCATCAGCATCATCAGCAGCATCAGCAGCTGCTGCATTAGTATCAGCAGCAGCATCATCAGCATCATCATTACCAGCATCATCAGCATCATCATTACCAGCAGCATCATTACCAGCATCATCATTACCAGCATCATCAGCATCATCATTACCAGCAGCATCATTACCAGCATCATCATTACCAGCATCATCAGCATCATCATTACCAGCAGCATCATTACCAGCATCATCAGCAGCATCATCATTACCAGAATCATCATTACCAGCATCATCAGCATCATCAGCAGCATCATCATTACCAGAATCATCATTACCAGCATCATCAGCATCATCATCATTACCAGCATCATTACCAGCAGCATCATTACCAGCATCATCAGCATCATCATCATCAGCATCATCATTACCAGCATCATCATCATCAGCATCATTATTACCAGCATCATCATCATCAGCATCATTACCAGCAGCATTATTACCAGCATCAGCATCATCAGCATCATTACCAGCAGCATTATTACCAGCATCAGCATCATCATTACCAGCATCACCATCATCAGCATCATCATTACCAGCATCATTATTACCAGCATCATTATTACCAGCATCATTATTACCAGCATCATTATTACCAGCATCATTATTACCAGCATCATTATTACCAGCATCATTATTACCAGCATCATTATTACCAGCATCATCATCAGCAGCATCATTACCAGCATCACCATCATCAGCATCATCATCACCAGCATCATTATTACCAGCATCATTATTACCAGCATCATTATTACCAGCATCATTATTACCAGCATCATCATCAGCAGCATCATTACCAGCATCATTACCAGCATCAGCAACATCATCAGCAGCAGCATCATTACCAGCATCATCAGCAGCAGTATCATTATACCAGCATCATCATCAGCAGCATCATTACCAGCATCATCATTACCAGCAGCATCATTACCAGCATCATCAGCAGCATCATCATTACCATCATCAGCAGCAGCATCATTACCAGCATCATCAGCAGCAGAATCATTACCAGCATCATCAGCAGCAGCATCATTACCAGCATCATCAGCAGCAGCATCATTGCGACTGTGTGTGTGTGACTGTGTGTATGACTGTGTGTGTGACTGTGTGTGTGACTGTGTGTGTGTGACTGTGTGTGTGACTGTGCCCCAGGCTGCGAGGAAGCTGTGACGCTCCACTCGCCGCGTCTCCATCGCTGCTACACGAGAGGTCGCCAAGGTCACGTGACCAGCCCAGCAGGTCAGGGGTCAGGGTGGCAGCCAGGATGGCTACCTCGCCCGGTACGCAGGAGGTCGTGGGTTCCATCCCGACCCTGATGAGATGTTAACTACCTCGCCTGGTACACAGGAGGTCGTGGGTTCTATCACGACCCTGATGAGATGTTAACTACCTCGCCTGGTATACAGGAGGTCGTGGGTTCTATCACGACCCTGACGAGATGTTAACTACCTCGCCTGGGTGTATGGGTCTCTATGAGTATGGGTCTCTGTGTGTCTGTATGGGTCTCTATGAGTATGGGTCTCTGTGTGTCTATGGGTCTCTGAGTTTGTGTCTATGTGTCTCTATGAGTATGGGTCTCTGTGGGTGTGTATGGGTCTCTATGAGTGTGGGTCTCTATGTGTCTCTATGTGTAGGGTCTCTGTGTGAGTCTCTATGAGTGTGGGTCTCTATGTGTACAGGTCTCTATGGGTCTCTATGAGTGTGGGTCTCTGTGTGTCTACGGGTCTCTATGAGTATGGCTCTCTGTGTGAGTCTCTATGAGTGTGGGTCTCTATGAGTGTGGGTCTCTATGTGTCTCTATGTGTAGGGTCTCTGTGGATTCGATGGCTCCGTAGGAACGTGCGTTCAGAGTATCGGCAAAGTCACCGCAGCGCCGAGTGAGTGGTACTGACCAGTACTCACCAGTACTCACCGGTACTGGTGAGTACTGGTGAGTGGTACTCACCAGTACCACTCACCAGTACCGGTGAGTACTGGTGAGTGGTACTCACCAGTAATCACCAGGACCACTCACTTACCTCCCCCCCCGCCCCTCCCCCCTGCCCCCAGCAGTGACGTGGCCACAGCGCTGGCTCGTCCTGGACCCGGTGCTGGAGGAGGCCCTGGTACCGAGACGTCTAGCACTGTCCCCTCTGGAGAGCTGGGTTAGCGCCCAGCATCAGCAGCAGCAGCATCAGCAGCAGCATCAGCAGCAGTGTCATCAGCATCATCATCAGCGTCATCATCATCATCAGGAGATGATTCTCCCATCATCGTCACCGTCGGGTGTTGCAATGGACGAGGTGAGTCTCAAAGTCGCTCACTCAGCGGGTTCACGGTGACCGTGTGGGTGGGTGGGTGTGTGGGTGGGTGTGTGGGTGGGTGGGTGTGTGTGTGGGTGGGTGTGTGGGTGTGTGGGTGGGTGTGTGGGTGGGTGGGTGTGTGGGTGGGTGGGTGTGTGGGTGGGTGTGTGTGTGTGGGTGTGTGTGTGGGTGGGTGTGTGGGTGGGTGTGTGGGTGGGTGTGTGGGTGGGTGTGTGGGTGGGTGGGGTTCACGGTGACCGTGTGGGTGGGTGGGTGTGTGGGTGGGTGGGGTTCACTGTGGCCGTGTGGGTGGGTGGGTGTGTGGGTGGGTGTGTGTGTGGGTGGGTGTGTGGGTGGGTGGGTGTGTGGGTGGGTGTGTGGGTGGGTGTGTGGGTGGGTGGGGTTCACGGTGACCGTGTGGGTGGGTGGGTGTGTGGGTGGGTGGGGTTCACTGTGGCCGTGTGGGTGGGTGGGTGGGTGTGTGGGTGGGTGGGGTTCACAGTGACCGTGTGGGTGGGTGTGTGGGTGGGGTTCACGGTGGCCGTGAGGGTGGGTGGGGTTCACGGTGTGTCTCACCGTGTGTGCATGTGTGTGCGTGTGCGTGTGTCTCTGTGTGTGTGTGTGTCTCTGTGTGCGTGCGTGTGCGTGTGTGTGTGTCTGTGTGTGTGTGTGTCTCTGTGTGTGTGTGTGTACGTGCGTGTGCGTGTCTCTGTGTCTCTGTGTGTGTGCGTGTGTCTCTGTGTGTGTGCGTGTGTCTCTGTGTGTGTGTGTCTCTGTGTGCGTGTGTCTCTGTGTGCGTGTGTCTCTGTGTGCGTGTGTGCGTGCGTGTGCGTGTGTGTGTGTGTCTGTGTGTGTGTGTATCTCTGTGTATGTGTGTCTGTGTGCGTGTGTACGTGTGTCTCTGTGTGGGTGTGTCTCTGTGTGTGTGCGTGTCTCTGTGTGTGTGTGTGTAGAACCCCGGAGTGGAACCCGTGGTGGTTCCCGCTCAGGTCCCCGGGGCGATCCCCCTGAAGGCCCAGTCGGTCCTCAAGATCCGTCGCCGCAAGATGAACCACCACAAGTACCGGAAGCTCACCCAGCGCATGAGGTTCCATCGGCGTGGAATCGTCAGGCGTAGAGCGATACGGAAGCAGGTGGCCACTCGCTCGCCAGTAACACTCACCACTACCACTCACCACTCACCAGTAACACTCACCACTCACTCACCAGTAACACTCACCAGTATCACTCACCAGTAACACTCACCAGTATCACTCACCACTCACTCACCAGTAACACTCACCACTCACCAGTATCACTCACCACTCACCAGTTTCACTCGCTCACCAGTAACACTCACCACTCACCAGTAACACTCACCAGTATCACTCACCACTCACTCACCACTACCACTCACCAGTAACACTCACCAGTATCACTCACCACTCACTCACCAGTATCACTCACCAGTATCACTCACCAGTAACACTCACCACTCACCAGTATCACTCACCAGTAACACTCACCACTCACCAGTATCACTCACCACTCACTCACCAGTATCACTCACCAGTATCACTCACCAGTATCACTCACCAGTATCACTCACCAGTACCACTCACCACTCACTCACCAGTATCACTCACCACTCACTCACCACTACCACTCACCAGTAACACTCACCACTCACTCACCAGTACCACTCACCAGTAACACTCACCACTCACTCACCACTACCACTCACCAGTAACACTCACCAGTACCACTCACCACTCACTCACCACTCACTCACCAGTAACACTCACCACTCACCAGTTTCACTCGCTCACCAGTAACACTCACCAGTATCACTCACCACTCACTCACCACTACCACTCACCAGTACCACTCACCACTCACTCACCAGTACCACTCACCAGTATCACTCACCAGTATCACTCACCAGTATCACTCACCACTCACCAGTATCACTCACCAGTATCACTCACCACTCACCAGTACCACTCACCAGTATCACTCACCAGTTTCACTCACCACTCACCAGTATCACTCACCAGTAACACTCACTCACCAGTACCACTCACCAGTAACACTCACCAGTACCACTCACCAGTATCACTCACCACTCACTCACCACTACCACTCACCAGTAACACTCACCACTCACTCACCAGTACCACTCACCAGTATCACTCACCAGTATCACTCACCAGTATCACTCACCAGTATCACTCACCACTCACTCACCACTACCACTCACCAGTAACACTCACCACTCACTCACCACTACCACTCACCAGTAACACTCACCACTCACTCACCACTCACCAGTATCACTCACCAGTATCACTCACCACTCACTCACCAGTAACACTCACCACTCACTCACCACTCACCAGTAACACTCACCAGTAACACTCACCACTCACTCACCACTCACCAGTAACACTCATCACTCACCAGTATCACTCACCAGTATCACTCACCACTCACTCACCACTCACCAGTAACACTCACCAGTATCACTCACCACTCACCAGTATCACTCACCACTACCACTCACCACTCACTCACCAGTAACACTCACCACTCACTCACCACTACCACTCACCAGTAACACTCACCACTCACCAGTACCACTCACCACTACCACTCACCACTACCACTCACCAGTAACACTCACCAGTATCACTCACCACTCACCAGTATCACTCACCACTCACTCACCACTCACCAGTATCACTCACCAGTATCACTCACCACTCACCAGTTTCACTCACCACTCACTCACCACTACCACTCACCAGTAACACTCACCACTCACTCACCACTCACCAGTAACACTCACCACTCACTCACCACTCACCAGTACCACTCACCAGTATCACTCACCAGTATCACTCACCACTCACTCACCAGTATCACTCACCACTCACTCACCAGTATCACTCACCAGTATCACTCACCACTCACTCACCACTCACTCACCAGTAACACTCACCACTCACCAGTACCACTCACTCACCACTCACCAGTATCACTCACCAGTATCACTCACCACTCACCAGTTTCACTCACCACTCACTCACCACTACCACTCACCAGTAACACTCACTCACCACTCACCAGTACCACTCACCAGTATCACTCACCAGTATCACTCACCACTCACTCACCAGTATCACTCACCACTCACTCACCAGTATCACTCACCAGTATCACTCACCACTCACTCACCACTCACTCACCAGTAACACTCACCACTCACCAGTACCACTCACTCACCACTCACCAGTATCACTCACCAGTATCACTCACCACTCACCAGTTTCACTCACCACTCACTCACCACTACCACTCACCAGTAACACTCACTCACCACTCACCAGTATCACTCACCAGTATCACTCACCAGTATCACTCACCAGTAACACTCACCACTACCACTCACCAGTATCACTCACCAGTTTCACTCACCACTCACTCACCAGTATCACTCACCAGTAACACTCACCACTACCACTCACCACTACCACTCACCAGTATCACTCACCACTCACCAGTATCACTCACCACTCACTCACCACTCACCAGTATCACTCACCAGTACCACTCACCAGTACCACTCACCACTCACTCACCACTCACCAGTATCACTCACCACTCACTCACCACTCACTAGTAACACTCACCAGTACCACTCACCAGTACCACTCACCAGTATCACTCACCACTCACCAGTACCACTCACTCACCACTCACCAGTATCACTCACCACTCACCAGTACCACTCACTCACCACTCACTAGTACCACTCACCAGTACCACTCACCAGTACCACTCACCAGTACCACTCACCAGTACCACTCACCAGTATCACTCACCAGTATCACTCACCACTCACCAGTACCACTCACTCACCAGTACCACTCACCAGTACCACTCACTCACCACTCACCAGTATCACTCACCACTCACCAGTATCACTCACCATTATCACTCACCAGTATCACTCACCACTCACCAGTACCACTCACTCACCACTCACTCACCACTCACCAGTACCACTCACCAGTACCACTCACCACTCATTCACCACTCACTCACCACTCACCAGTAACACTCACTCACCACTCACCACTACCACTCACCAGTACCGCTCACCACCACTCACTCACCAGTAACACTCACCACTCACTCACCACTCACTCACCAGTACCACTCACCACTCATTCACCACTCACTCACCACTCACCAGTAACACTCACTCACCACTCACCACTACCACTCACCAGTACCGCTCACCACCACTCACTCACCAGTAACACTCACCACTCACTCACCACTCACTCACCAGTACCACTCACCAGTATCACTCACCAATACCACTCACCACTCACTCACCAGTACCACTCACCAGTATCACTCACTCACCACTCACCAGTACCACTCACTCACCACTCACCAGTATCACTCACCAGTATCACTCACCACTACCACTCACTCACCAGTACCACTCACTCACAAGGGGGTGAGTGAGTGAGTGAATGAGTGGGTGGGTCAGTGAATGAGTGCGTGGGTGAGTGAGTGAGTCAGTGAATGAGTGCGTGGGTCAGTGAATGAGTACGTGGGTGAGTGAGTGAGTCAGTGGATGGGTTTGTGCTTGGATGAGTGAATGAGTGGGTGGGTTTTTGAATGAGTGGGTGAGTGAGTGAGTCAGTGAATGGGTTTGTGCACGATTGGGTGAATGAGTGAATGAGTGAGTGGGTGGGTGAGTGAATGAGTGCGTGGGTGAGTGAGTGAGTCAGTGAATGAGTGCATGGGTCAGTGAATGAGTACGTGGGTGAGTGAGTCAGTGGATGGGTTTGTGCTTGAATGAGTGAATGAGTGGGTGGGTCAGTGAATGAGTGCGTGGGTGAGTGAGTGGATGGGTTTGTGCACGATTGGGTGAATAAGTGAGTGAGTGAGTGAATGAGTGGGTGGGTCAGTGAATGAGTACGTGGGTGAGTGAGTGAGTCAGTGGATGGGTTTGTGCTTGAATGAGTGAATGAGTGGGTGGGTCAGTGAATGAGTGCATGGGTGAGTGAGTGAGTCAGTGGATGGGTTTGTGAGTGAATGAGTGAATGAGTGAGTGAATGAATCAGTGTACATGCCAAGTGATGGCCTTCATAGGCACTGCTGCTGCTACTCGCGACTCACAGCACTTGCCCCGACAGTCTGTTGAAGGCTACACGGGGGACCTTTGTCTGTGTGTGTCTGTTTGTCACTGTGTGTCACTGTGTGTCTGTGTGTGTCACTGTGTGTCTGTGTGTGTCTGTGTGTGTGTGTGTGTCTGTTTGTCACTGTGTGTCTGTGTGTGTGTCTGTGTGTGTCTGTATGTCACTGTGTGTCTGTGTGTGTGTCTGTGTGTCACTGTGTGTCTGTGTGTGTGTGTCTGTGTGTGTGTGACTGTGTGTGTGTGACTGTGTGTGTGTGTGACTGTGTGTGTGTGACTGTGTGTGTGTGACTGTGTCTGTGTGTGTGACTGTGTCTGTGTGTGTGACTGTGTCTGTGTGTGTGTGACTGTGTGTGTGTGTGACTGTGTGTGTGTGTGACTGTGTGTGACTGTGTGTGTGTGACTGTGTGTGTGTGTGACTGTGTGTGTGTGACTGTGTGTGTGACTGTGTGTGTGTATGTGACTGTGTGTGTGTATGTGACTGTGTGTGTGTGTGTGACTGTGTGTGTGTGTGTGACTGTGTGTGTGTGACTGTGTGTGTGTGTGACTGTGTGTGTGTGTGACTGTGTGTGTGTGTGTGACTGTGTGTGTGTGTGTGACTGTGTGTGACTGTGTGTGTGACTGTGTGTGTGACTGTGTGTCTGTGTGTGTGACTGTGTGTGTGTGTGACTGTGTGTGTGTGTGACTGTGTGTGTGTGTGACTGTGTGTGTGTGACTGTGTGTGTGACTGTGTGTGTGACTGTGTGTGTGACTGTGTGTGTGACTGTGTGTGACTGTGTGTGTGTGTGTGACTGTGTGTGTGTGTGTGACTGTGTGTGTGTGTGTGACTGTGTGTGACTGTGTGTCTGTGTGTGTGTCTGTGTGTGTGACTGTGTGTGTGTGTGTGACTGTGTGTGTGTGTCTGTGTGTGTGTCTGTGTGTGTCTGTGTGTGTGTCTGTGTGTGTGTGACTGTGTGTGTCTGTGTGTGTGTGTGTGTCTGTGTGTGTGTGTCTGTGTGTGTGTCTGTGTGTGTGTCTGTGTGTGTGTGTCTGTGTGTGTGTGTGTGTCTGTGTGTGTGTGTCTGTGTGTGTGTCTGTGTGTGTGTCTGTGTGTGTGTGTCTGTGTGTGTGTCTGTGTGTGTCTGTGTGTGTGTCTGTGTGTGTGTGACTGTGTGTGTCTGTGTGTGTGTGTGCGTGTGTCTGTGTATGTGTGTGTGTCTGTGTGTGTGTGTGTGTCTATGTCTGTGTGTGTGTAGAGGAAGTTCGAGAAGGATCTAGAGAAGGTTTGGACGAGCGCAGGCTTGGAGGAGTCGCCCCAAGGGTGGAAAATGCCGAAGATCTACCACTTCTCTGGCTCACGCAAACCCCTACACAAGAAGTAGTGTGGGCGAGCGAGCGGGTGGGTGAGCGGGTGGGTGAGCGGGTGGGAGAGCGAGCGAGTGGGCGAGCGGGCGGGTGAGCGGGTGGGTGAGCGAGCGAGTGGGCGAGCGGGCGGGTGAGCGAGCGGGGGGGTGAGCGAGCGGGTGGGCGAGCGGGGGGGTGAGCGAGCGGGTGGGCGAGCGAGGGAGTGAGCGAGGGAGTGAGCGAGCGAGTGGGCGAGCGGGCGGATGAGCGAGCGGGGGGGGTGAGCGAGCGGATGGGCGAGCGAGGGAGTGGGCGAGCGGGTGGGTGAGCGGGTCGCAGGCCAAGTCGCTCGCTCGCCCGCCCAAACGCTCACCCCACGAACCCACTCATTCACTCACTCGCCCACTCGTCCAGTGACGGTGGTGATGCGCGAGTCGGTGGGTGACTTTTATGGGTGGCCGCCGGGGCGAGCGAGCGGGCGTGCGGGCGGGCGAGCGAGTCACTCGCACGCTCACTCGCACGCTCACTCGCACGCTCACTCGCACGCTCACTCGCACGCTCACTCGCCCACGAACCCACGGGAGTTTAATAAACGACTTCCACGGCGACTCTGAACTGGTGTCTTTTATTTGTCCACGTGAAGCTTTCGTGACTGCAGGGATTCCATATTCTTGGTTCTTACGGTTAAAGTCACCGCCGCCGCGTAGATAGGAGAAACGATAAAATAATAAAAATATAAAACAATAAAATTATTGTACAACAATAAAATTATTATTCTTGGTTCTTTCAGTTAAAGTCACCGCCGCGTAGATAGGGGAAACGATAAAATAATAAAAATATAAAACAATAAAATTATTGTAAAACAATAAAATTATTATTCTTGGTTCTTTCGGTTAAAGTCACTGCCACGTAGATAGGGGAAACAATAAAATAATAAAAATATAAAACAATAAAATTATTGTAGAACAATAAAATTATTATTCTTGGTTCTTTCGGTTAAAGTCACCACATAGAAGGAAACCAATAAAATAATAAAAATATAAAACAATAAAATTATTGTAAAACAATACAATTATTAATCTTGGTTCTTTCGGTTAAAGTCACCACGTAGGTAGGGGAAACAATAAAATAATAAAAAATATAAAACAATAAAATTATTGTAAAACAATAAAATTATTATTCTTGGTTCTTTCGGTAAAGTCACCACCGCCACGTAGATAGGGGAAACAAAATAATAAAAATATAAAACAATAAAATTATTGTAGAACAATAAAATTATTATTCTTGGTTCTTTCGGTTAAAGTCACCACATAGAAGGGAACCAATAAAATAATAAAACAATAAAATTGTAAAACAATAAAATTATTATTCTTGGTTCTTTCGGTAAAGTCACTGCCGCGTAGATAGGGAAACAATAAAATAATAAAAATATAAAACAATAAAATTATTGTAAAACAATAAAATTATTATTCTTGGTTCTTTCGGTAAAGTCACCACCGCCACGTAGATAGGGGAAACAAAATAATAAAAATATAAAACAATAAAATTATTGTAGAACAATAAAATTATTATTCTTGGTTCTTTCGGTTAAAGTCACCGCCACGTAGATAGGGGAAACAATAAAATAATAAAAATATAAAACAATAAAATTATTGTAGAACAATAAAATTATTATTCTTGGTTCTTTCAGTTAAAGTCACCGCCGCGTAGATAGGGGAAACAATAAAATAATAAAAATATAAAACAATAAAATTATTGTAAAACAATAAAATTATTATTCTTGGTTCTTTCGGTAAAGTCACTGCCACGTAGATAGGGGAAACAATAAAATAATAAAAATATAAAACAATAAAATTATTGTAGAACAATAAAATTATTATTCTTGGTTCTTTCGGTTAAAGTCACCACATAGAAGGAAACCAATAAAATAATAAAAATATAAAACAATAAAATTATTGTAAAACAATAAAATTATTAATCTTGGTTCTTTCGGTTAAAGTCACCACCACGTAGGTAGGGGAAACAATAAAATAATAAAAAATATAAAACAATAAAATTATTGTAAAACAATAAAATTATTATTCTTGGTTCTTTCGGTAAAGTCACCACCGCCACGTAGATAGGGGAAACAATAAAATAATAAAAATATAAAACAATAAAATTATTGTAGAACAATAAAATTATTATTCTTGGTTCTTTCGGTTAAAGTCACCACATAGAAGGGAACCAATAAAATAATAAAAATATAAAACAATAAAATTGTAAAACAATAAAATTATTATTCTTGGTTCTTTCGGTAAAGTCACTGCCACGTAGATAGGGGAAACAATAAAATAATAAAAATATAAAACAATAAAATTATTGTAAAACAATAAAATTATTATTCTTGGTTCTTTCGGTTAAAGTCACCACCGCCACGTAGATAGGGGAAACAATAAAATAATAAAAATATAAAACAATAAAATTATTGTAAAACAATAAAATAATTATTCTTGGTTCTTTCGGTTAAAGTCACCGCCGCCGCGTAGATAGGGAAACAATAAAATAATAAAAATATAAAACAATACAATTATTGTAGAACAATAAAATTATTATATTCTTAGTTTTTTCGGTAAAGTCACGTTGAAGAGAAACAACAAAATAATAAAATATATATAAAACAATAAAAAAATTCTCACGACGTTTCGACCATAACTCAAACGGTCATCTTCAGGTGTGTTGGTTTGCATAAATTTATTTTTAAACGGCGCATTTATTTATTTATAAAAAAAACGTTAGCGTCACGCGCAGCGATTTGGCAGTTTGCCCAGGACTAGTCCATCTATATTCTGAAAAGAGGAGGGGGGAGACGAAATTTTTTATAATGTATGCTGTCTGAAAGCCACTGTAAGCGTGAACAATCAATTAAGAACTGAAATGGTTTATCAAATCTTTCCAATGATTGCTAAGATAGAATCCATCTTCTCGGTTGAAATTGTCTCTGTGCTTGTATATGTGGATAGCCTCATGAACGAATCTCTCATGGAAGCCAGATGGCTTACAAAGAACCTCTGTCTTGGAAAAGTCAATGGCATGTGAGCCTACTGAATTAGAACAATGATCTGCTATGGCCGAGGTGTTGGTCCTACCGTGTTTAAGGTCTGCTTTGTGTTCACGAATGCGGTCCGAGACATGGCGTTTGGTTTCTCCAATGTAACTACTACCACAGAGGCAACTTAGTTTGTAGACACCAGGGTATTGTATGTCCGGAATCACATCTTTTACAGACGGAACCAGATCACGGATTTTATGTAATGTGTTGAAACGGACCTGGATCTTGTGTTTATTCAAGATTTTGGAGATCTTTTTTGTGATCCCAGCAATGTAGGGTAAAGTGATGGTTTTGAAAGGCTCCTCAAGAGGGTTTTTCTTCATGGTTTGAGTGATAGCTTTGCGGATTGTATAGTCGGAGTAACCATTAGCCCTAAGAGCTTGGTGTACGTGCTTGAGTTCACTGCTTATGTGTTCCTGGTCGGATATGCATTGGGCTCTATGATACAGAGTCTTGATGAGAGAATTCTTCTGTGATGGATGATTATTATTCTTGGTTCTTTCGGTAAAGTCACCACATAGAAGGGAAACAATAAAATAATAATAATATAAAACAATAAAATTATTGTAAAACAATAAAATTATTATTCTTGGTTCTTTCGGTTAAAGTTACCCACTCATTCACTCACTAATTCACCCACCCACGCATTCACTCACCCACCCACTCAATCACTCACTCATTCACTCGCCCACTCATTCACTTGCCCACCCACTTATTCACTCACCCACTCATTCACCCACTCATTCACTCACTCATTCACTCACCCACTCATTCACCCACCCCTCATTCACTCACCCACTCATTCACCCATCCACTCATTCACTCACCCACTCATTCACTCACCCACTCATTCACTCACCCTCCCACTCATTCATCCATCCACTCATTCAATCACCCACCCACTCATTCACCCACCCACTCATTCCATCACCCACCCACTCATTCAATCACCCACCCACTCATTCACCCACTCATTCACCCACTCATTCACTCACTAATTCACCCACCCACGCATTCACCCACTCATTCACTCACCCACCACTCATTCACTCACCCACTCATTCACCCTCTCACTCATTCACTCACCCACTCATTCACTCACCCACTCATTCAATCACCCACCCACTCATTCACTCGCCCCACTCATTCACTCACCCACCCACTTATTCACTCATCCACTCATTCACCCACTCATTTACTCACCCACTCACTCATTCACTCACCCACCCCTCATTCACTCACCCACTCACCCATTCACTCACCCACTCATTCACTCACCCCCCACTCATTCACCCACCCACTCATTCCATCACCCACCCACTCATTCACCCACTCATTCACTCACCCACTCATTCACCCACCTACTCATTCACCCACCCACTCATTCACCCACCCACTCATTCACCCACCCACTCATTCACTCACCCACTCATTCACCCACTCATTCACCCACCCACTCATTCACTCACCCATCCACTCATTCACCCACCCACTCATTCACCCACTCATTCACTCACCCACTCATTCACCCACCCACTCATTCACCCACTCATTCACTCACCCACTCATTCACCCACCCACTCATTCATTCACCCACCCACTCATTCCATCACCCACCCACTCATTCAATCACCCACCCACTCATTCACTCACCCATCCACTCATTCACCCACCCACTCATTCACTCACCCACTCATTCCATCACCCACCCACTCATTCACCCACCCACTCATTCACTCACCCATCCACTCATTCACCCACTCATTCATCCACTCACCCACCCACTCATTCACCCACTCATTCACTCACCCACCCACTCATTCACTCACTCATTCACCCACTCATTCACTCACCCACTCATTCACCCACTCACTCACTCATTCACTCACCCACTCACTCACCCACCCACTCATTCACTCACCCAATCATTCACTCACCCACCAACTCGCCCACACAAAGCTCCCCCGTGTAGCCTGTGACAGACTGTAGGGGC